TTTGGAACAAGGGGCCTCACACCTTCATGTTACACTGGTTCCAACAACTCTATGGAGCTGGTCCTGACTCTTTCACAGTTATTCGTGTATCTGTTCAATTCCAGCTCCTCAGAGACATTTCCTAATCACTCTATCACAGGGGTGACCCACTTTTTCTGTAAAGGACCAGAGAACAAAGTAGTTCGGGCTTTGTGGGTCATAGAGCCTCGGCTGTAACTGCTCAGCTCTGCTGTGATAGTATGAAAGCAGCCGTAGACCACATATAATGAATGGGCATGTACATGTTCCAATAAAATGTTATTTATGGACACTAAAATGTGAATTTCATGTAATTTTTACCTGCCATTAATATTATTTTTCCTTTTCCTCTCTCCCTTCCCCCAAACATTAAAAAATAGTCAGAAGCCTGAATTTGGCCCAAGATCTGTAGTTAGCTGATTCTGAGGTAAATATGTGTGGGAGCAAGTCCTTGGGAAAGTAGGGAGAGATGAGCGCTGGACCACAGGTGAGGGAGGGAGATGTTTTAAAGGAGGAGTCACAATGAACACATTTTTTTCCCCCAGTGAATGTATTAAAATCAAAGCGAATATTCAGGCCCATCTCCATTTTTAATAATACTACTATCTCTTTGTTTTTTTCTCCTATTGTTATTATTTCATTTCCCCATACAGATATTCATTTAATCTTGCCCTTGTGCTTTGTGTTTTGAGGCACTATTTGCTTGTGTCTAGATGTGAACACATGGACTTTCCTTCTCTTTGAAGGCCTTTGCTTGCTACTTATGTGATCTTGAGTAAATAATCTATTTTCTCTGATCCATTGATTCTGTGTTAGTTTGTCTAAGTAGTGTTAGCTGGCATGACAGACCAACCTAGAATCTCAGTGGTTTAACATAAAGGAGGTTTTACCTCAACTTCTTATAAGGTCCAAGGTGGATTGAATGACCCTCCATCATTTTGGAACTACATCATCTGCAGAGTAAGAGAGGGTTGGAGAAGGCTCACTTCTACAGACAGTCGATTGGTCAGAATTAGTTACCTGACACCAACCTAACTGCACACAAGGCTTGGAAATAGCAGGGAACCTATGCTTATGGGGTTTTTTGTTTGTTTGTTTTTTTAAAAAAATATATTTTATTGATTTTTTTTTTATTATTAAAGAGAGGAAGGGAGAGAGATAGAGAGCCAGAAACGTCGATGAGAGAGAAACATCGACCAGTTGCCTCTTGCACACCCCCTACCGGGGATGTGCCCGCAACCAAGGTACATGCCCTTGACCGGAATCGAACCTGGGACCTTTCCGTCCGCAGACCGACACTCTACCACTGAGCCAATCCGGTTTTGGCATGCTTATGGTTTTGTTGAGTACTAAAATTATCTCTTAGAACAGGGGTTGACCAATGTTTTCTCTAAAGGACCAGGCAGTAAATATTTCAGGTGCTGTGGATAATACGGCTTCTGTCTAAACTCCTCCAGTCTGCCATTTAGACACAAAGTAAATGAATGGGCATAGATGTGTTCCAGTAAAACTTTATTTTCAGCAACATGAGGCAGGCCAGATGTGGGCCAGAGGCTATAGTTTGCTGATCCATAATGACTCTCCCTTTTTATTACCTCAGATGCTCAAAGAGCTTTGGGCAATTACCTCCACTCATTGGTCCTCACACGGGGTAACAGCAGATGGACAGTTCTGAAGAGGCAAAAAAGAATGGGGTCAGGTGATCACTGATCAATAGTTCCATCCCTTCAAATTTCTATTAGCCTAGCTTCCTTTCTCCAGATATCTTACTTGAAGTTATGCTACAGTGAGATCATAGCACTCTGCTCAAAGGAAGAAAGGGAAAATAAAATGTAGATTTGCATGACCATGCATTAGGCAGTCTATACTTAGTTTTGAGAGCAAACAAGCATACATTTTTCAAGCATCTGTGTATACATTTGTGTTTCCCATTAAAGAACATATCTTTTGGTATTCACCTAAGCAAGAAATATGTGAGTCACCCTAGACTCCTCCCTTAAAAAATCAACCTTCCCATCCAATAAGATGTCAAGACTAAAAAGCTAGCCTCATTAGCATCTCCTAAAAACATCTGCAATCTCTAACCCTGCTGCCATTGCTTTACTTAGGATCTCATTATGTCATGGCTGGAATTCTATAACATCCTCCTAATTAGTTTTCCTTCCTCAAGTCCAACCCTGACCAATCTATTCTCTAAATTGCTACAGTAAGTTTATTAAAATGCAAACTCAGCTATGAAAACCTTGCCTGAAAATCATTCAGGTTTTTTTTTTAAATGTTCACGTTAAAGACCAAACTCATTGTCATGACATTTAGAGTCCTTTATGATGTGGCCCCTGCAACTTACAATATCCCACGTCTTGAACCCACCACTATAGTACTTTGCACTATAGCCACCCCCACTATTTACAGTTTGTACTTCCCTTCTCCCCATCCTCTTTTGTCTGCCTACCCCATGCTTCCCACCTCTTCATCAGGATTCAATCTCCTGCTCATGGAGGCCTTTTCTGATTCCCTCCCTAAGGTAGAGACCCATCTTTGAGCTCCCTTTAAATTCTGTCCCTCCACTTATCATAGTCCTTTTCACCGTACTATATTATACTGAAGCATGATTCTTGGGTGGCTTATCTCTCCTTTTAGGCACCATTCTTTCTCCAACAAAAGTTTATTATCACCTGGACCATAGAAACAATGTCTTATTTATCTGTTCCTATCACAGTGCTTACCTTGGTATCTGCAATTTAGTCACTCAGCAGATATCTGTATAATGAATTCATGTAGCAATATATATATATATATATATATATATATATATATATATATATATATATAGCCTGTTTGCTGTTACTCTTTTGTGCATAACAAATTGTGTTCGTATATAAATAGAACTTTGGGTAGTCTGGGTTCAGAAACATTTATTTAAGAAACATTTAAATGTAAAGAAGTTCTATACATCAGTTAACTTGACCTTTATAAAGTTTATGACAAGGAAAATAATAAAAATTTGGTTTATGGCCTGTTTATAAAGTGAAACAAAAACACAACACAGCACAATAAAACAAGACCAAGATAATGGACCTTCCTGTATTTTTATTGCAGACTAGTATCATAGTTCATGATTTTGTTTTCTGTAAGAGAAAGTTTACTTAGAAAGTCACAGAGGCAGAAAAAGTGAACTGTAGAGGAAATGGGCTCAGAGCTTAGGAGAAAGGGAAAGGCAGGAAAACATGCCTTGGGGAAAGGTGTGGGCTGCTCTATTGGGAGAGCCACCCATAGTTCACGGCATTTAATTGCTGTTATACAGTCTCGAGGAAAGCACATTGAATGTGAAACTGAGATTCAGCAGCTTCAAGGACAGGCATTTCACGAGAAACCAGTGGTGACATTGAACCCTGGTCTTTCATACTTCAAAAGCATCTGAGTCCTGTGGGTACTCATTTGAATTCTATTACTGAGTTGATGTGGCATAATAACAAATGACTTGCAGTTTCTTGTATAACAATATTTATGCCTCTTAACCTTTTTCATTAAAATATTGCAACGGTGAAGGAATAAAGCATATTGTGATCATTTGTACCCTTTATGTAAAAAAATAACCTGTAAAATAAAGATACTTTCAGTATCATTTAGTTTAGATTATAGGCTAAATGATATCTACTTTAAAAGCCATTATCTGGAAGAGACAGGGCAGATGGAATATTATGCAGGAAAACAATCTGTGAAGTACACATTAAATTAACAGATATTTGAGGGCAATGGAAGCATTAGTAAACCAAAAGTAATTGTACTTTGGGGAAAGAAACTTATTGTAAAGAGATTGCAGTTAACCTCTTGTTAATTACTGTGAGATTGTTACTATTTCAGTAGTATGAATGAGAAGAATGAAAAGTAAAAATACTTAAGTTGATTCTTGGAAAATGCACACAGTTCTGAGAGCCAAAAGGACTGCAATATTTTTATTGTTTTAAAATTTTTTTGAAGGACTATGTTAGAAGCTCTGCTAGGCACAGGGAAAAAAGTGAACATATTTAAAATCAAGGGGAAAAAATAGAAAAATGCTATTGGGAATAATCCATTACTGACAAGCGGTATAGATTATAGGTGTCATTATTCCATGATTTTAACTTTTATGTTTAAGTTGACTTTTCTTGCTACTTGGGGATTAATTAAAACCCTTAAAAAATAAAATCAAAGTTTACCTCAAGAACCAAGCAGATCCTGGAAAATGCCCTATATAACTTTAATTAATTCTGATGATAGAATTTCAGCATATGGTACTTGGGGACAATATCTAACACCACCGTTCCTTGGGCTACATAAAGAATTAAAAAAAAAAATAGAATTGCCCTAATAATGCTTCAATGTCATGAGATCCCTTTTATTGCTAGATTCTATATCCTCAGGGTCTGGCAAATGCCTGATGTTTCATAAATGTTAGTTGATTGAAAGGTGACTTATAATTGCAAGTTTCCAAATTGCTCATTAAGAGAAATTCTGTGCACTACATTTTTACATACTTTTGGCAAAACCTAACAAAGAGTACAAATTATTTATTTATTTTTTATTTTAAAATATATTTTTATTGACATTTTACAGAGAGGAGGAAGGGAGAGAGATAGAGAGCTAGAAACATCGATGAGAGAGAATCATCGATCAGCTGCCTCTTGCACACCCCCTACTGGAGATGTGCCCACAACCAATGTACATGCCCTTGACCAGAATCAAACCTGGGACCTTTCAGTCCGCAGACCAACGCTCTACCAATGAGCCAAACTATGCCATCATAGTTTTTCATTAAATATCTTTTTATTATTTAATTTATTAAGGGATTACTTAGTCCCTCTGTAAAGCACAGTTATATTTTAAGTATAAATCCAGTTTAACTGGAAAAAAAAATCGTCACTTAGATAAAAGTGATGGGGAGATGGGGCTCAAGATGAACATGATCATATTAATACTGTTGTCGTGCTCATTTATTTTAGCCCAAACAACGAACCTCTATTGTGTCTTCTCTGGATTTCCATCGGACGAATCATAACCAAGATTATTTCGAAATCAACACGTCCACAGGGTGTACAAGCTTCCCTCCCAGCCCTCCTGCTAGTCCACCCACCTCTTCTGTGGGAACCGCAGTTGTCAAGAATGAGGACACTGGCCATCCAGGTAAAGCATTGCAACTTTATGCAGCTATATTTCTCAACTTTCAAAACTAAAGCCTTTGTGAATTAGATTCATTAAGAGGAACCCTTTGTACAAATTGTGCTGGGTTCTTTGATCACCTACATGTGAGGCAATGTAGGGCTTTATGATTTTTGTCAGAGTATGGGTATAATATTCTTTCTGAATACATTAGTGGCCTTTGAGGCATTAGATATTAAAGATGATGACATAATGCTATTATGATAGTGGAAAAAAAGCAGAGACCTAGAAATGTTCTTCTTCCACTACTATTTATCCCACTCCACATAGTGGTAGAAACTCATCAATATATAACATCTAGCTATGAGGCTAGAGACTTTGGCTCAAGGTTATCTGGGAAGATTAAATAGGACAGTGTGGTCTAAGTGGGCTATCAATCTACTCAAACCAAAGTGAATTTAGAGAAGAGGGGTCTGAAGATAAGCCGGGAGGTAAAGGGGAGATTAGGAAACAAACCACCCCCAGGAGTCAAACATACCTGGTTCCATCCAATCAGATTTGCAATGTTTCCGTTCTTTGGGGGCTAATGACTGGTGGACAGAAATATGAGAAAGGTATCTTCTGTTTATGTCTAATTTGAAGTAAGTGAACTATTCAACTACTTTTCTTCAAAGAGAGATTATTTGAAAACCCAATTAATATGACTTTTAGAATCATAAATTATTGTTCATGTATGTAGTCCATGTGATTATTGTTCAAAATGAGTGTGTGTATAACTATGTGAAAGAATAAACGTATACTTATTTAAGTCCTTTACAGTGGCTGCACTTTTAAGAACACTTTAAAGATTAAAATAATTTCAAAAATTTCAGAGAATTATTTTCCCCTAGGAAAACAACTAAGATTTTTAAAAATAATGATTAATGTAAGTGGGGAGATCAATATTCTGTGGAAGCTATACTTCAGTCTTCCCATGGCAACCAGAGTGATATTTACAAAATGTAAATCAAAGCATGTCATCATTGTACTTGAGATGCTAGATTGCTTCTCACTGAACTTAGAATGAAGTCCAACTCCTTACTGTGGTCAATGAAGTTCATTGTAACCTTGCTCCTAACTAGCTCTTTAACCTAAAATTTTGCAAACCTATCCTGGCCCATACGGACTGTCTTTGCTAGGCATTCTGGTCCTGGGACTTTTGTACTTTGGTTCCTGCTGCCTAAAATCATGTGACTGAGTGTCACTTGGGTTTTGACTCAAATGTACTTCCTCATAGACGCTGTCTCAGGTCCCTTCAATAATGAAAATTATAGTAACAATGATGCAAAAAGAATAATAGTAATAATATTAATAAGCAGTAGTATTTAAGCATATGTTTAAATATTTTTCATAATATTTTCAATATTAACTTTAATTTATAATTATTATAAATATTTAATGTCTTGAATTTAATATCTTTAATATTAAGAAGCAATAAGTATTTAAGCAAATACTTAACACTATGCTTCATACACTATTTTAGGCATTTTATGTATATTAACTCATTTAAACCTCGTAACTGTTATATGAATTAGGTGTTATTTTTTATACATAAGGAAACACAGAAAGAAGCTAAATAACTAAACAACAACCCATACTAACAGAGCTGGAATTCAAACGTGGTGGTAGAGTCCATGTTCTTAAACATGTTTCAACATTGCCTAGTTACTTTGGTCAAATCATCCTGTTTTTCCCCCCAGAACCTATTTACTATCTAAAATTATATTGTTCACTTGTGTACTTATTGTCTTCTCTCCTTTTTCTATATTTGTGATTTAGAATGGATGGGTCCCTGATACATTGTAGGCTGCCTAAGATTGTTTACTAACTATGAGACTGAACTTCTTACCTAGCTATGAAACTTAAACCTCTTTATGCTATGGATTTTATCTATAGACTTAAATTAACAATTAATTAATTAAATTAGCTTGCCCGGTAGTGCAGCCATGCATGTAAAGTGATTAGTGCTGTGTCGGGTACATAGAGTTAAATAAATGTTAGTAACTATTAGTAGTAGTCATTATGTTAGTGAAACCTAGTATTAGTCAGTGAGCATGGGCATTTAGTGCATGTCTGCCTTGTACCAGATCCAGGTTTCCAGGAGAGGAGAGATGGGACATGATTTGTAAATCAAAGTGATATGCGAATCCCAGGAAGGGTTGCTGGCATATAACTCATACTTAATACTTAGTTGAATTACTCATTCCGGGTTTAAAAAGTTAAAATGAGAAAAATGACATTGATACTTGATTTTTGGAAAATCTTTCTTATTCAATAGTTTTACTTTTGTGTACTAATTGGTGTGGGGTTTTTTAATGATTAATTTTGAAAAATTTCAACAATGCTTTGAGATAGATAATATTTATTCATTTATTTATTTATAAATTAAGAGTAAGAGAAGTTATGGGGCTAGTGCCCTTTCTCCACTCTGACCACCAAGGGGAGAGGAAAGGAACACATCCTGTTGCTGTCTGGATTTCAGTGGCACCATCCAAAATGTGTGGAGAAATTATTATTTCCCACACATTTCAAAATTGATATTTTCAGGCCTGACCTTTGAACAGAAATAAAATCTAACCTTTAACAGCTGAAATAATTCCAAATAGCACGCATGTTACTATGGTTTCCTAATGTGATATGTCACCTCCATGTTACATCAAAAATCTTAGAGTGGGCTGATATTTAGTAATAATGAGTAAGGAAAGATAGTGCTGATTGTTTTACATCAAAAAGTAAAGTTTTAAGGTAGGTATTTATCTACTGGGGAAACTAGCATTTTATTATCAATGTTTTGCTAACCTTTGCATTTAAGAACCTGCACATGCAAGTGCTACCACATAGGATATATGGAAAGAGGACGAGTCCCGGTGTCAGTTCTGTCTCTGATTTCCTAGGTATTTTCATCAAATCACTTAATTCCCTGAGAGGGGTGTTCCAAACAGGGGTGTTCTCTCCTGGTTCTCTCTCTCTTTCTTTCTTTCCTTCTTTCTTTCCTTCTTTCTTTCCTTCTTTCTTTCCTTCTTTCTTTCCTTCTTTCTTCCTTCCTTCCTTCCTTTCTTTCTTTCTTTCTTTCTTTCTTTCTTTCTTTCTTTCTTTCTTTCTTTCTCTCTTTCTTTCTCTCTCTCTCTCTCCCTCTCTCTCTCTCTCTCTCTCTCTCTCTCTCTCTCTCTCTCTCTTTCTTTCTTTCTTTCCTTTTTTCCCCCCAAAATATATTTTATTGATTTTTCACAGAGAGGAAGAGAGAGGATAGAGAGTCAGAAACATTGATGAGAGAGAATCATCGATCAGCTGCCTCTTACACACCCCCTACCGGGGATGTGCCCACAACCGAGGTACATGCCCTTGACCGGAATTGAACCTGGGACCTTTCAGTCCGCAGGCCGACGCTCTATCCACTGAGCGAAACCGGTCTCGGCTTCTGGTTCTCTTTCTGATCTTGACCGCCACAGGTCTCCTTTTTGTATGAACTTCTGAGTTATCTGAGAGCCTAGGTGATAAAGCATTTCAGTCCAGTAGGTACCCCTAATTGTTGCCAATGTGTTCCTTTTCCTTGGGTAACAGGTTTTTTTTTTTGTTGTTTTTGTTTTTTTTAAAAATAGAAATGGTGGAATTCTGCATCTACCATGTTTCCCCGAAAATAAGACATCCTCCGAAAATAAGACTTAGCGCATGGAAAGATAAGACATCCCCTGAAAATAAGACCTAGCGCAACTTTGGGAGAAAAAATTAATATAAGACGCTGTCTTATTTTCGGGGAAACAGGGTATTTGAAAGGTAGAAGCAACATTTTTTGGATTGGTTGGGTGGTAGGGTATGAGAAAATGAAAGAGACCAAAGATGTGACTTAAGGATTTGTTGGTCCTTTTGACTTCTGGAAGGATGGACTTGATATTAATTCAGGTGAGAAAACTCAGTTTTGGATATGTTAATTTGAAACATTATTGTATAATCAAGTAGATAAGCTGAGTAGATAGTTGAGAGGGATTTTTTTTTAGTGGGATAAGGAAGGGTGGGATGAAGCTATGGGGTAATTTTATATTTATCAAATTAAAGGGTATCAGTTTTAAAAGACTGAGAATCAGTGCTTTAGCCCACAATGAGTTACTTGAGAGTTCGGAGTTCCTCAGTGAAAATGTCCTGGACAGGTGTGCTGTGAACTGCTGAGGGAAAAGAAGCTGAGAATCATCAGTAATAAAAGGTGCTTCCTCCTTATGTAAAGTTGCTTCCAGAAAGCTCTATGAAGAATTTTGTTGACTAGCACTTTTGGACACCTGCTTAGGAATTTAACTACCCTGGATAAATAATTATCTCCAATTGCATTAGTACTTTCCAATCATCACCTCCTGCTGGAGAAAACTTCTCTCCAAATGATACAAATAACAAAAACAAAAGCTTTTAAGTGCTTAGCAGCATCCGATGCTTTTCTGCAAGGGAGAAGAAACATTAGAAAAGAACTAAAATTAGAAAGGAGAAGGTGGTGTGGACCTTTCACGCTGCTTGGGGATTGCCAGAAAGCAAATGAAGGCCTTCTTTTTAATTAGTTCACACGGCCTGGAAATAGGCCTCCTGAAGCTGGGGCAGTGTTATTCCGGCAGCCGTTGGACGCAGGCAGCGGAGGGGTTCTCTGGCCTCCAGCCAGCACGAAGGCCAGAGCCGGGTAGCTGAGATGATGTGGGAGCTCCACGCTGAGATTCGGGGTGAGCTGATATGGAGGAAGTGAAGGGTTAGTGGGAATTTTGTATTAATTATATCTTTGTGGTTTATTTTATTTAAAAATGCATTAAGTAAATTATCTGGATTATTTATTGTTAAATTGGGTACTTTAGGTTGACTAAGTTTTAGGTAGCCAAAAGGAAATAATTTTTATATCAAATAGACACACACACACACACACACACACACACACACACACACACACCCTACTTCAATTACTTAAAAATATGAAAATATCTTCCATAGTTAGATGTTGGAGTAATGCGATTTAG